GGGGGGGGGGGGGGGGGGGGGGGGGGGGGGGGGGGGGGGGGGGGGTGGGGGGGGGGGGGGGTGGGGGTGGGGGTGGGGGTGTGGGTGTGGGTGTGACTCTTCTCTAAATGGTCACCAACACCCACATCCACACCCACACCCACACCCATACCCACATCCCACACCCACACCCATACCCACATCCCACACCCACACCCATACCCACCCACACCCACACCCCACACTCACACCCACCCCGGAACTATTGAATAAGTACCAACAGAAAGTTCCTTGTCCAGTGCTGGCATTCCACATACTTGTGTGTGGGTGTTAGAAATTTGCCCTTCTCGCTTACTACCATCGCACAACCATTGGTTCAGATTCGCTGTCGTCGTAAGCGCCTGCTAATATTTATTCGAACAAAAACAGTAGGAAAAAACAAATATTCACTCAATAAAGTCTATTCATTGTACGTTGAAGGTCTTGCTCGATTCGTACTACATCAGGGTGTTGAGGTGGCAATGACTGACGACGAATAGATGCGGCTTTTTGAAAAAATGTCATTGCTTGTTGAAAATCACCATTGCTCTCGTGAACAAGGCCAACATTTCTGCAGCTCAGTGCAATTTGTGGATGATTATGAGTAAGTGACTTCGAATAGATCTTCAGTGCTCGATTGTAATATTCCAATGCAAGATCATACTGACCGAGATATCTATGAACTTCACCAATATTGTTATAAGACATGCCCAAATCAGGATGCTCGGCAGGTAGATATTTTTGTTGAATAGTAAGTGTCTTCTTGAAGAAGACGAGTGCCTCTGAATACTTCTTCTGTTCGCCATAGATGATGGCAATATTGTTGTAAAATCCGGCCATATTCGGATGATTCTCGTCATGTGCTTGTTCGAAAACTGAAACTGCATTGTTGTACGATTCGACTGCTCGACTGTAGTCACCTTTTCTCCAGTGAATCAAACCGATGCTGTTGTATGTGTTGCCAATACTGACATGATCCGGTGGAGAAGTTCTCTCATAGGTTTCGAGTGCTTTCTTGTACCATTCGAGACTTGTTTCATAGTCACCTTTTTCGTCGATAGTCGAACCAATATTGTGATACAGTGTCGCAAGATTAGGATCATTTGGTGGAAGTTCCTTCAGCCGGAGGTGAAAGAACTTTTCGGCCAGATCAAATTTACCCATCTTTTTTAACACTTCGCCGAATGAACAAAGGTCTGTAGGCCCGCTCCACAATTTAGTCTTCATGTGTTGAAGCAGCTCCTTGAGTTCGTGTTCATCATCACCACATAGTATCATTCGGATGATCGTGACTCCAGTACCATCTTGACGAATGTCAACGAGACGAAAAATAGAGCCGAGCATGAAGAGAACTTCTGCCTCATCATCGAATTGACTTTGTGAGGTGATGTCAGCAAATGGTTTGCTGGTGACCACTTGTGGATTTGCTTCAATTTCGAACAGCACTCGCTTCAGATCACCAGTACTCTCATCGCCACCAAGCAGTGACGCAGCTACCTGTCGATTAAAACTGGTGGAAAAAAATGAGGTTATGGAAATAAATTTGGTAATCGATCCATGAAGTAATTCCAATTCGTCATTTGACATTAATTGGCCACGATAAACTTTAACAGGTTGATCATATTGTTTGTCGGATAAGAGCTGTCGAATGTCATCGATTATTGTTCGAAGATGAAGCAGGAGTTCAATGTCTTGTATACGCAGCGCCTTATTTAATATTCTATATAAGAAGCAGTCGCATGTGTACCACCGCAATGCATATTCGGGAGAATAGTCCTTCTCGAACTCACGTATAATCTTTAACTGTGCTTCATTACCTTTGTAATGTTCTTCACAGAGGGATAACAGTTTCTTTCGAATTCTTTCGGTTGATTTCATTCGTAGTAAAACATCTATCATTATTTGTGAATGTAAAAATTCGCCACTGATTTCCGTCGACGATCGACCTTCGCCGTTGCCACTCACATTGAATGGCAATGGTTCTTCTATTTTCTTTCGAAATTTTTGATCCAATTGAATTTGAGCAATAAGTTCATCAAGTTCAACTACCGTGCCTCTCACCTGTAGAAATAGTGTTCACGTTAGAAGGAAAAATTAGTTATTTAAAAGCATTCTACCTTTTGAAACGTCTTTACCCATTCTTCATGTCCCTTTTCGTCTCTGCAATACACATAGATCGCCAATACGTGTCGAATACTGTGAATTTTAGGAACAATTTCTCGACCCAATCGATCACTCACAATGAGTACGATTCGATCTCCTTCGGGTGATTCTTCAATGTATTTTTGAAACTAGTTTTCATCTTGAACGATTTTCATGTGATTGATTGAAGATCGAAGTTGCCGTTGTGCTTCTACATTTTCATCACTGTTATTTACTGAGGTATCGAGCCACAGAAGAGAAAATGACTCGAGATTGTCATGGTGTGTTGTGTAACACTTGCCATCGGACTGAACAACTTCGGAGGTGACTGCGTCTGGTTTCGACGATGACAACCTCATGATCATTTGCTGCAGTGATGCTACTTTTTTTGTGTTCGAAAAGAGAGAACTAAACTTTCTATGCAGATCTAAAGAGAAAAAAAATTAAAGAAGTGAAAAGAAAGTTAAGAAAGTAAAAGTACTACCACTATAGACAATGTAGTGTAATTTCATCAAACATCTGCAACACATTTCAGATATCAACAGGAGTATTATATTTTATTTGCTTCGTGACATGTGAGTACAAGAAAAAAAGCACTGGCAGAAAGAAAAACGTGGTTACCTATATATATGTACATACTTAATGTTTGAGAGTGAGCAGTAAAAAGATTATTTGGAAGCTTGATCACACCCACGAAAAAAAAATTTATAAAAGTTCGCGTTTGAACGCCAACTTTTAGAAAAAAACGCTATTTTTACGTTTAAACGCATCCTGTTCTATTTTCAACGCGTTGAGACGCATTCTTCTCAATTCACAACGCGTTGAAACGCATCGTTTTTATTTGCAACGCGTTTTTTCAACTTAAAACGTCAACTGAA